TGTTGTGTGCCCCACCCTTTTCTGTGTGTTTGCCATCTCTTTCTCTATCCCTCTCTCTCTCTCTCTCTCCCACTCTCTCTCGCTCTCTCTCTCTCTCGGTGCTGCTCTATGTGGCATGGATGCAAATGTTGAAATTTTAAACCCTTGAATGTGGCCATTGTCTCTGATAGGTCTGTGCCTGGGCAGGGTTCCTACGAACCTCTTGCAGCCCATATTTATCTACACTATAGTATCGTCCGCCCCCTCCCTGCCTCGCTGGCTACCTTCACCACAGCCGTTGCCCATTTGCCAACTGGGCTGTAAGTAAGCGCTTTTAACTATATATTTGTTATTTGTTTTTTGTTTTTGTGTTTTTTTTCTGTCCCACGGTTTTTTTTTTGATTTTGTTTTGTCTTCGTTTTTCTCATTTGTCTGCCCGCGATTTTCTCTATTTATTTATTTTTTCTCTTATTTTTTTAATTGTATTTAGTTACATTGGTAATTATTGATTTTGAAGTGTACAGTTTTGCCCTTTGTCGAAGGCAGTTGTTATTTTTTTGTATGCTTCACTAATTAAAAACTTGTAAAATAGAGCAGCGGATGTAACAATTATATAGATTCCTGATCAACATCATAGCTTGAGGACAGTGCATTTGTAATGAGTTGGTTTCGGATTTGGTTAAGAGCTGCTGCCCTTTAGTAATAGGAGTCTAAATAGCTATCTGGCTGATGGCAGAAGTTTGATATCTACACTCGAAATTGAAAATTGTTAGCTATCTGCTAGAAGTATCAGTAGAAATCTCTTTTAATATAAATCCCTTATGGCATTCTCAAGTCTTTATATAAATTAAAGATACTCTTCACTATCAAACTCGATAATTTCGATGATGAACTGCACCCCTGGATGCATGCCACACTTTTATGTTGTTTGTATATAAAGTTCCTAAGTCTCTAAAATGCTCTTCGAAGACTTCAAATCTCGCCAAGATTATCAAATACGAATGGTATTTAAAATGTAGATATTATTATTGTTTTATATTGATTGATTGATTATAAATTATTGATAGTTTTGTCCGTAGCTTAGATAATGCCTGATGTCGCTTTCGTCTCCCATTTATATTTAGAGTTGGATAGATTTTTCGATTAATTCTGAGCCTTTTTGGCTATGGTTGCCATTTGGTTAGTATTTGTGCATCAGTCTCGATCTTAGTTGGTTAACTTGCATAGTTGCTGCTGGCTGCATTTATGGTTTGGACCGTTTATTGCCTTTGGTCGAGTCTTGACAGTTTCTGCATACTGCAAGCTGCACTTTCCCCTCGCCACCAAAACTGTTTGACATCAAAATGCTTGCAGTCATCTATTTTGTTTTTTTGTTGTTTTATATGCCGCTGTTTCCTCGCTTAGCTTAGCTTAGCTGCTGCTCTGTGTTTGTTGGCTTTTGTTTCTGCTGTCAGCTGTGCTCGGCGGCGCTCGGTTTTCAATTATGTGTGCTCGGTTCCTGTGTGTGTGTTGTGTGTTGCGGGCTGGCTTTGTGCTTGTCCTCGCCAGAATATGTCCGGCTCCGACTTGTTTCTGCTTTGGCTTTGGCTTGCTTGGCCATTGTGTGGGCCATTTGTGCTATATATCACTCATACGCAGCGTGGACGCTTCATTTTCATGCACTAATTGCGTTAGAATTTCAATGGAAATTTGTGGCAACCAACTCCTTGGTCTTCGCATCCTCATCCCCATCTCCCATCCCTGCTCCGGTCCTCTGCTGCCCTCTCACCCCCTCTCTTTATCCCTCTGGCATTTCTCATCTGTCGAAGTTTAACCCAAACGAACGCTTTGATTTGACTTTGGTCACATGCAGATTTTTTAATTGGAACTCAGTCTCCACTGCTGATAATCGAAGCCCGGACACGAGGCTGCCTGTGGGCGTGGTCTGTGCACTGATTTTATATATGTACACTTTTTTTTCATCTCTATTTTTGTATTTTCTTTTTTTTTTTTGTAAAGGGGTTGGTTGGCAACTACCATTTGTAACAGTTTTTTTTTCCCCCATTTTGCTGTTCTCCGTTTTTTTTTTAAAGATTTCTTTGCAACCTTTTTTTTTTGCATTTTGTACATAAACCCAAGTCCAAGTTTCAGTTAAAAATGGAAGAAAAAAACGGCTCTGGCCATTAGAGCTTCAGCGTCGACGTTGACGTCGGCAACGTAATTAAAAACAAGAAATGCTGAACAAGTAGAAAAACAACAAAAATAACAACAACAATCAGAACAACAACAACAAGACAAGACAAACGAGAAAAGTAAAAGAAATGTGCCAAGAAACTGGCCAGGCCTTTCTTCTAGCCATCCACCCACCCAGCAATCCTCAACCACCTCCCCACCCCGCCCCACTCCTGTTCTCAGAGGCCCGCAAATTTATTTAAATTTCGTGCGCCAAACTCTTTTTCGCTGTTCTATTTTCTGATGCCCTTCAATTAAGGAAGAGTTTTATCCTTTTCTGAGCTGATGTGCGAGTCAATTAAAATAGAAATGCTTAACTTGAATTTTATTAAGTTGAATACAGACTAACATTGATGAATAACCATAAATGTTTAACTATAGAATGTCCCTTAAATGTTAACAATTATGTGGCTTTGACTGCTTTGTTATTTGTTTGCTGGCAAAAAGTTACATTTTCGTATTTATGCAAAATAATTAATTAAAATAACCAATTGCATTGCGATTTTTTATTTATTTCAAATCAAGTTTCAATTTACACATTGAAAGCAGTTTCGCTTCGTTTATTTCTTTGTTTCCCTAGACGGTTAGAATATTTAAAATTCGACTTGCCAGAACTTCGTTTGCATTTCTTATAATTTGTTTCGCTTTTTTTGTTGTGTGTTTTCTTGTTATTTTTAATAAAGTGGCGAGTGGTGAGTGGCGAGCGGTGTACGCAAAAGGGCCAAGAAAAGTGCGAGTAGCTGCAAAAAATGTTGCGTAAATTTGTTATGTATTTTCATTTTTATTCCCGAACTTTTTTTCTTCCCCCTTTTCTTTTATTTTGTTAACTTAAATAAATAAATAAGGCGCTGGGGCCTTCGTCGCGCTGATGAGCCGCAGCAGCAGCAGTGGCAGCCACGACCACAAAACCCAGCAGCAACAGCAGCAGCAGCTCTTGCTCCTGCTCCTGCTCCTGCAACCCTTCCAAGCAATCATGCATCCTTTACTCGTTTCCCCCGCCCAGCACAACACACCGTCGCGCATTTCCATGCCCCGTACTTCCGTTTCCGGCGCCAGCCATTTGCATCTACAGCAAGAACAACAACAAAGCAAAATTTCTTCCATTTATTCGAAGGTTCTATCTCCCCCCCACCCCGCTCCCCCCTGGTTGCGCCACCAACTTATATATGTACATATATGTATATATATACAGATATTTGTGTCGTGTCGAAGAAGAAAAGTTTTTTTTCCTGTAAAAGAAAAAAAAAAACACAACGCAACTGACAACTGGACTTGCAGTGGTCAGAAGGGGTCAGGGGAAAGGGGGAGGGGTGGAAAGGGGTAGAGTTTTGGGTAACTGGGCGTGGGAAGATCAAAAAGGGGGTGGTTCTGCCAAAACGGGCTACACAAATTTTTCAACCTACTCAATTTTTCGCCTTAATTTCTTTTTTGTTTCTTCGACTGCCAAGGGACACCGCAGCAGGAGGCGGTAATAAGAATTTTTTCTTTAGTTCTTCTCTCAGCAGCCTTTCTCACCCTCTCAAGCATCCCTTCTCCAACCCACTCCATCCCCTCCTCCCCACCCACCCATCCGATTCGCTGGCTGGCCTGCCTTCTGTGCGTGTGCGCCGAAGTGTTTTTTCCGTATTTTTAATTTAAAATGCGAAGCATGAGAAATGAAAAAAAATTAAATGCGCTTGGGGTTGAGTGCGGCTCAGAGGCAGCAAATACAAAAAATTATATAAAAAAAATGAAGGAAAACAAAACGAGCAGAAATGAAAAGAAAAGAAAAGAAAAGAAAAGCATCTCCGTCGCACTGCTTAAAAGAAAAACTTCTGAAGTAAATATTGGCCTGTCCAATTGCTGCGACTGGCTGCCAACTGCAGTGGCCATCAGAGCTCTTCTGCGGGTGTGGGCAGTGGGCAGTGGGTGTTCTGCCCAAGGTGGCAGGCGGAGAAGCCGGGGGAATGGTGCGTCCACTCTGACAAACAGAAAAAACTGGACCCAGCCCCGTGTTGGCCAAGCCAAAAGGAAATCACAGCCCAAGCACTAAGGCGCAATGACTATTCCAGGCCAACATTTTTTACCTAACTGTCTGTCTGTCTGTTTGTCTGTCTGTCTGTCTGTCTGTCTGTCTTTTCTTGTACCTGTCTGTTTCTCAGCATCATTCGCAAATGGTACATACAACATTTATGAATGTACACCACGAACAATTTGATTATCAGAATCAAAAGAAATATAGAGGGACTCGATGAGGAAGTAATTCATTTGCGGGTAAAATCCAAAGAATAACTGCCAAATTGAATGACAAGTATTGAAAGAGTAGAAGGAAATATATAGAAATATATAAAGAGAGATATAGAACTAGAGAGAGAGAGAAATAGGTCTGCAATGATAAGTTGCTATAGAAAAATAGAGATAGTTATGGAAAGAAATATAAAAGATAAATATATATAGAGCTAGTGAAAATATGGATGGAAAAAGAGTTAGTGGATCGAGCTAAATATAGATATATAAAGGAACATAACTTGAACATGCAAATAATTATTTACCGAGTTAGTTTAAAAACAGTCGACAAAAGACTGGAAAGAAATACAAATTGTTGCAGTAAAGAGAAATTAAATGATTTAAAATTCAAAAAAGAAATAATAAAATTATTATATAAAAAATACAAATTAAATATCAGATTAAAAAATAAAATAAAGTCTCAAAAATTGAGAAATTCATGCAGCTTTTTGATCAGAAATTGATTGCTTCATTTAAATAATGCCTGCCTGAAAATCATGGAAATTTTGCTGATTTGCTTTGTTATCCATTCGATTGTTTTGCAG